CATTCACTCTCTCGTTGCACGCACCTCTCTTAGTGAGAGATGCCACATGGCGCTCGCTCACAAGAACCTGAGAGAAAATCCGAAAAAACCGACGAAATCACACATTAGAAATTGAAGAAAAAAAATTATTAAATGAGTTTATGTAGTTTATCGTCGAATGAATAAAAAAAGACAGATAAAATTTGCATTGTTTTGCGTAAAATCGGCTAATGAAGTTAAGAAGTGGCACGTGGTGAGGAAAACGACGACAAATCGATGAAATTTCTGTGAAGTCAAAGAGAATAAAGAAAAGAAAAGAAAAAGAGTCACAAAAGTCATTGCAAGAGACTGTGCTAAGAGAATTAGTTGATGATTTAATGAGTGCCGCCGACCGATTGAATGTCGCCGATGTACATGCAAATAACGATGAATTGCAACCGAATGGTGACCAAATCGATGAAGAATTGAGAGTTGAAAACTTTCCAAATTTGCCAGCCGATAATTCGTTCGACGGAGTGAACGACGGGAGAGAAAGAGACAGGAACAGCGACGACGACGACGACGCAGGAGAAAGAAGAGACGGCAACCAGCCAGTGATTGAAATAGCAAGACGAAAAACCCGCAAAATGAGTGATTTTTTGAACAAAATCGAAAAGTTAAAGCTGGATGGAAATTTGGCTGATAATTGGAGGAGATTTAAGCGTATTTCAACATTTACATGACCGCCGGTGAGCTAACTGAGAAATCTGACGCAATAAAAATCAACACATTTCTCAATGCTGTTGGTGAGGAGGCTATCGAAGTGTTTGACACGTTGACGCTCACAGAAGAACAAAGAGCAAGCTATGATGAAGTTATCAAGGCATTTGATGAATTTTGTAAGCCAAAAAGAAACCCAGTTTACGAACGATTCGTACTCAATCAAAGTAAACAGAAGGAAGGTGAGCCATTCGACGCATTTTTGATGGATATCAAACGATTGGCAAGAACATGTGAGTACGGTGACAGAGAAAATGAAATGTTGCGAGACAGAATTGTATGGGGAGTCCAGTGCCGCAAATTACAACTTCGTTTGATTGAAAAGAATGAATTAACGTACGACCAAGCGGTTGAAATGGCACGACAAAGTGAATCAACGAAAGAGCAAGTAAATACGATGAGCACAAGCAAAAACACTTGCATCGATGAAATACGACACGCA